ATTTTTTTTTGTGGGGGGGGGGGGGGGCGAGTAATTTTTGGAGGGGCGTGGCACCCACGCACCTCTCTAAATACGTGAACGTTATGGTGTTGCGTTCTCCATAGGATTGCGTGGAACAGTAAGGAGGGGTCATAGAATATCCGATTTTTTTTTCACGTTGTCATGCTTCCTTCCATCAGATTCAGAATTAGCCTTTCTTATATAATAAAAATGATGATGGTATTAATTTGAACTATATAAGCTGTGGGCGTATTTGATAAATGCACGGCTAGCTAAGTCAAAATTGATATTAAATTACCGCCTTATGGACGCACTTAGTTTATCGTTGTATTTTTAATGGAATTTGCCACGCACAATGATTAAAGGCGCTCGAGATCTAAGCTAAGAAAGAGTGGGTCTATAGCGTAATTCAAACATCATTCGCTTAAATTGTCATTATCAATATAAAAGCAAAAAAGGAGGTAGGTTTTTTACAAGAGTAGTGTACCTCTTGGTGAAAACGACCATAAGTGCAAGCGGCATAGATTTCAAATCTTATCATAACTAATGCACCTTCATCTGTACAATGCAATACAGTAATTAAGAGAAACTGATCTGGCTTGCTGCTTGGATTTAGAGGAACAGTGCCACTTTGTGGAGTTCAATAGGCCAATATCTTCACCGGGCCGTCTATAATGTTATTGTCCTCCAACGGAATCGCTAGAGCCCAGTGGCGGATCTAGAGGGAATAGGGTGGCTAGCCGCCCCTAGCTAGCATCCCCCCCCCTCCACCCCCATCCATTCGGTTACCGTAAAAAAAAAAAAACTTGTCTTGTGTGTGTGCTTCTCGTGTATATACATGTTACGTGCTGAGTAGGGAAAACATACACTTTCTATTTTAAGCTTAACTTCTTTTCAGATGTCATCTAAGAGCGCTAGCCGTCTACTAACTCCAAAGAAGAACTCAAAATGAAAGGAATTCCCTAAAACCACCCCAACAACCCGCTCGTGCTTCGCACCTCGCATCCACCCCCATTACTAAATCCTAGATCCGCCACTGGAGCCATATCTTACACCCCACAAACTATATGCAATCTAACATACTATCCACTAATGGCTACTAATTAACCACCCGGTAGCGCCACCACACGCCAGCAGAACTAAATTGGAAACAATACGGCGAAGGATGAAAGCTGATTGTTGCAATTGTATACTTTGCGCGATGATGTAATCGCAACGGGACTTCCCCTAGTCTGGTAACGTGACAATTACTGCATTTGCTCGACACTATTTTTTATTTATTTATTTTTTTTTTAAACAGTGGTTTAGGACGTTAAAATTGTGTTTTTAGTAAGTTGCCCTCAAATACGACAGGAGGTCCATAGCTTGTCTCACGTTGTAACTCTCCCCCAACCCCCTCACCGGCGCTACCACCACTTGTCTGGTGTGGTCCTTCCTCAGTTCAAGTTCAAGTCAATCTTTTTTGTGTTCAATGTAACACAAAATTGGTTGCTGGAAATGAAGAATAAACTGTATAAAAAAACGACATGGTTAAGACGACAAGGAAAAGTTTTTGTTATCAGTATACACTGTTTATCGTAGGCAAAGCTTCCTCCTCTGTGTAACATTATAATATGTACTGATGAGCGAGTAGTTTAGCATACATCACTTAGATTCAACATAAATAACATTCGAATGAGTGATTAATCAGTTACTCTTCAGGCTAGCCTTAAATTAAAATTCTTCGAAAGATACGCGTGCTATTATAGGCCTCGAGTCAACGTCAACATTAGGTATCAGGATAAACATGATTTTGTTTATATCGTATCTCGTATAATATGCATTTGATGATACTTTCGTGTCGGGCTTGTGGATAAAGAAGATTCACTGGAGGACCGAATGAAAAATGAGGACATTCGGAAGGAAACAACAGTGACACGTCTGGGAGATAAAATACAAGAGTGTAGATTGGGATGGTATACGGACATGTAATGAGACGGGAAGAGGTTGATATGATATAAGATGGGCAGCAGAAAGAGTGGAAATTGAGAGCAGACCAAGAGGGAGACCCAGATGGATGGACTGTATCAGACAAGATGGAAGATTTAGACGTAGAAGCGGTAATGAATTGCACCGGATGGAGGACGACAATGAGACAACCCAACCCCATGAGGGAACAAACGGGATGATGATGATGATGATGATGATGATGATGATGATGATGATGATGATGATGATGATGATGATGATGATGATGATGATGATGATGATGATAAGCGTGCCATTAGGTGTCGAGCCTACGTCAACAGTTGGTATCAGGATGAACATGATTGTGTGTCGTGTCTCGTACGGATTTGATGAGACTTGTGCAGCATAGATCAACCAATCGTGGCTTGTGGATGAAGAAGATTCATATCTGAAAAAAGCAGAAGAATAAATGAGGGCTCACTAGTCATAGCGCTATGACCATATTGCACCAAAAATATGTTTATTCATTCTCAGACAAGTTACTTACTAAACCAGTGGTGTATCTAAGTAAGAACCGGCCCCTTTACAAAGCGTCAACCGAGGCCTGGATCATGACTATAGGGGTGGAGAGGGGGTACGAGCCGTCAATTTCCCCTGGGGAGTATGAGAATTCCTGAAAACTACGTTTTAAATTTTCAGGAACCGAATTTTCAGCTTAATTAAAGAATGAAAATACAAATAGATATACTGATTTAACGTTCAGAAAATGCCTGGCTAGTAATAAATACGGTACCGTACTAAGGATAATCGCAACCTTCGTAATTATTTCAAGAGGGCCGGGCCTATATGCAGTGGCACGTAATATTAAACAATTGCAGTCTAGTAGCAGATCCAATTCGAAAGAGGGAGTGGGAAAAGGGAGGGACTTTCACAGATGGAGGGTATAAGCCACCAAACCCTACCATGATTTGGACTGAGGGAGGAAAATGTATGATTATGGCACCTCTAGATGGCAGGAAATTGTACTGGTGTAAACCTATGATATGGTAGTCGTACAAGAATATAAAAACCCTATTCTTTTCCTTTCGTTGTTTACGTGCCTACGCTAATGTGCTCGTACTCGTACGACCTCCTCGACGCGTCGTTTCTTTGGGGTTTCATTCAACCTTTTTATTGTGGTGGCCAGTTCCCATTTGTTGAGACCAGCGGTGGGCCGATATATTTTTTTTTTCAATGGCAGCCTAGTCACCCATTCCCTTTTATAGGCTTACAAGTCTATATAAACCTATTACAGCATGGCCTAAGCCTGGCTAAAAATTACCTCTGATACTTTACATCAACCGTGATAGACCTTGTTTTTTTTTTTTTTAATGAGGGTGTTATCCAGTGGAATATCAAATAGAGAAAAGGTGGACTCTAAACAAACTTGCACCCCTAGTTCTACTCCACCATTAGGGAATATCCCGAGCACCAAAAGGTCCGGACCTGCCCCACCAAGTTTGGGGCTGAGGTAAGCAAGCTTTTAAAATAACATATCATATGCATGGAAAGGGCCTTCTTAGACTTTTTCAAAGTCAAAGAGTCCAGAATTTCCCGATGGGTTCATGTACCCCGAGCCTGTTCATATAATTATCTATTTCCCATCAGTCGTCCCCCTATTACAATTAATAGTCAACGCCACATAGTTAACTACTCAAAAAAATCTGACACTTGTTAACACCGTCAGACTAGCTGACATTCCTATTCACTTAAAAAACGCTTGGGTTTATTATTCCATTAATTCTAACGTTTTGCTGTAAATTGAGATTAAGTAACGCATTTTGCTCATGTGAATGTCATTCCCACTTCTTTAGCAAATCCTTTTGCAACAATAGGCCTAACTGAAAATTGACCAGGGAAATAATTTATTTTTGAGCAAGTAGCGGGCCGGATCGATTTTTTGGCGAGCCGGAGTTGGTCTGCTGAGCGTACATTGAATACCACGGCACTCTGACGAATTCGCCCAAAATAGGATTTTTTCGTTACACGCAGGGGTTGGGAGGGGGAGGGCCGCTTCGCACTTGGGACTGCATAAAACTTTTTGTGGCAGTGGATTGCGATATTAAAACGTACTCTGCTGCAGAGGAGAAACGATTATTATATATATATAACGAGTATTATGCAACGAACATAATACATAAGACGAAAAGCTTGGTTAATTGGTTAATGAGATAAAAAGCGCTTAAGGAGATATAGATTTTTGGATATTCAAAAACTTGGGGGAAATATTAATCATCAAATTTCATTGACATTTGCCTCAAACTCTGTCCGAGCAATCAAAAATCCTTAAACAGCATTACAGTACTGGGTAAAATTATAGTCGAAGCAAAAGCCATTAGATGATTTTAGAAATACATTAAATTTTTATTTTGTTAATTACTGTGTAATCTTTTCACTAATACCAATAACACATGCAACAGTGATGCATGCAGACCTGTCAAGGTCTCAAACTGGCTTGCTTGAGATTTCTTCTGGATTTGCTTGAGATTGGGCATTTTTTAAAAAATTATGCGTGAGGTCACAAACCTTAAGGAAAATACAGTCTAGCGTCAATATGTGCATCCTCTAATTCCGAGACCTAATTCAACACCACTTTCTTTTTTTTTAAACGTACAGGTTTGAATATTTTAAAATCCTTAAGTTAAATTTATTTTTTTGAAAGTTTTTTTTTTAAATTTTCAATGAAAAATAAATGCGATCGTTAATATCGACCTTAGTACAATGTAAACCTGTAATCATATGACTACTTATACAGAATTTTACTATATTATAGGCATAGACTAGGACCAGACCTCCTACTATAGTATAGAGACCTAGTCCAAGACCTTGTTGCAAATCCCAGCCCACATAAGCCTAGCCTCGAAATATTATTTCGTTCCCTCGAAATATTATTTCGTTCCCTCGAAATAATATTTCGTTCCCTCGAAATATTATTTCGTTCCCTCGAAATATTATTTCGTTCCCTCGAAATAATATTTCGTTCCCTCGAAATATTATTTCGTTCCCTCGAAATATTATTTCGTTCCCTCGAAATATTATTTCGTTCCCTCGAAATATTATTTCGTTCCCTCGAAATATTATTTCGTTCTCTCGAAATATTATTTCGTTCCCTCGAAATATTATTTCGTTCCCTCGAAATATTATTTCGTTCCCTCGAAATATTATTTCGCTCCCTCGAAATATTATTTCGTTCCCTCGAAATAATTAAATATTTTTTCTAACCATGTCCCTTTAGGGGCTCCGTAGTTTTGTTCACGGCATTGGACTGCAGCGAAAAATGATCCCCATCATTAATGGAACAGGCCCACGTCACGCTTGGCTGACTACTTTTGATTTACATTTCGCATGTCTTTTGTTGTTGTAAAATGTATTTCAAACCACTGAGTCATGTTTGGCTGGTTTTGATTTACGTTTTGGAATAGAATTTGGAGAGGGCGTTTGATCAAGTCAGATCTACGTTTTGAATTTGAATTACATTTATAAAGAAATTAGAACTACATTTTGGAAAATTTGAACTACGTTTTGAAAAATTAGAACTTAATTATGGGAAACTAGATCTACATTTTGAGAAATTTTCGCCTACGTTTTGGTAAATTAGACCAGGGAATTGTTATAGTATAACAACTCCCTGATTAGACATGAATTTTGCAATTACATTTTGATTTTAACATGGACTTTTGCTGCGTACACCGCACTTGCCGAGATAGAAAATTTACAGTTCAGTTGATTATAAATATTCATGATCGAACTCAGTGTATTGTGACAGAATGAGTTTACAAATATGCATCAGCCGACTGAGACCGAGGAAAAAGAGACTACCTTATACTGCCTTATGTTTCACGACCACAGCTTTTTCTGGCATAAATCTAGCATAATTTCCCATCAGCCCTAGTATACAGTAATGTGATTCGCATCACTGGTTAACTTAGGAGCGTAACGTATAGGCAGGCCATTCTTTGTCTAGGCCACTTTAGCTAAGACCTAATCCTGTTTTCCCTACTCTACAACTACAGTATTAATGTGGATTTCTCTGATATGGCTGACGAAATATTAAACTTGAATGTCGGGGGAAGCATCTATACAACAAGTCGCTCAACGTTAACACGTTATCCGGATTCAATGCTAGGGTCAATGTTCAGCGGTCGTTTGCCATCTGCCGTTGATGATTGCCATCGCTATATCATTGACGGAGACGGTCCAACATTTCGACACATTCTGAATTTCCTCCGCCGATCAAAGCTTATTCTTCCCGACGGTTTCAAAGAGTGGGATATTCTATCGGCTGAGGCAGACTACTACCAATTACAAGAACTCATTCAACTTATCGACGAAAAACGTATTCGACGGCCTGGTAGGCCTACCTACGAATTTGTTGAGGTAGAATATCATGGAGATAGTAAATACACATGGCGGATTTATGGTAAACCAAAAATAATCCATCAAATCTTAACAACTGATATTAATTATTTTATGTGTGAATCCACACGTGAAGAATATCCAAATTATTCGCAGCCTGTTGATAAGATTGCCAGGAGTGAATGCACTGGATATGTATTAAGAGCGTGGAATAGAACTAAAAAATGTATACAATATCCAGGCCCAGATCTAAGTCGAGTGAGGTTGTTCGAAGGCATAGCCAAGTTTGGCTTTACGTTGATATCTACGTCCTCACACGAACCTTCACAAGGGAATTGGACATTTTCACGAAAAGAGGTTGCCGACGACTAACTATTTAATATTCTGTTTTTAAGTGATATTTTTACTGGCTATAGTTTTCTGCCCTTTTTAAAGGTTAAGTATATGAATGCGCCCACATTGATCATCGCGAAAATGCTGTGTAATCAAATAAAAATATGTATGCCCGTCAGGAAAAATTTAGTCCGGGGTCAATCGTCCGGCGGACCGATTTTGGCCTCATTATTACCGGCCAAAAGTAGTCTAGTACGTAGGCCAAAATCGGTCCACCGAAATATACTTTCTGTGCTCAGCACACTTGGGCATCTTATCAGCACTACGGGTATTGTAATGTAGTATTAAGGTTCAATGGTATTAACTTGCATAACCATTGGAATCGATACCCTTCACCTGATAAATGCCTTAAATTGGTTTGACAGTTTTAATGGTCAACTTGAGTATCTGTAAGTAGTAAGGTATGACGGTATAACCCACTCTAGAGGGCGCTCAGGGAAGGGTGATGCTATGACGTCATTTAATCCTATTCACTAAAGAACAAAAGACTAGTATACTTAATTGTTTACGTCATGATGCAGTGCCAGGTGTGTTGGATTATCTTTTGAAATTGAAAACAAAATGTAGGTAAGGGATGCTATTGACATCATTTAATCTCTTTTATTTTAGAACAATGGATAAGAGGGACGCTACTGACGTCATTTAATCCTTTACAATAAAGAACAAAAGACTAGTATACTTAATTAAAATAATTTAAATAATAATATTAGATAAATAAAGAAAATATATATTTGAGTTGTTTATGACATGATGCAGTGCCAGGTGTGTTGGATTATCTTCGAAACTGAAAACAATGGGGCAGCATTAAAGGTGCTAAAAGGAATTAAATCAAACAATTTGAATTTATTTGGAATAAACAATAGGATAAGCGATGTTTTTAATAGGATTAATTGTTTGTGACATAGGGATACATGTGACAATGCGGGGACTTGATAGTTTGAATAGCCCGGGTTAACATAGGGTTATGACGTCTTGTATTCAATTTTTATTCAGTTAAATAAAAAACCAAGATAAATATAAGAAATATATAAAAAACGTAGAAAATAAATAAAAATAAATAAGAGGCGATGCTACTGACGTCACTTAATCTTTCTATACAATTTAGTGCTTATAGCTTATAGTGAAAACATAGGTTGAAACATCATTAAAAAAATTTAAAAAAAACCTGTACGTTGTTACAATTCTCTAAACTACAAGCTAGTATTGAACTTCAAGATAGTATTTCAATTAGATGGATTTGTTTGGCAATAACTTTGAAGAACAAGGAAGCAGTATTTTGAATTTTGAAAATGAAGAAGTAAGAAACATGAGCATGGAATCTGAACGAATTGCACGAGAAATAAATTCAGCCTTTGTGGCATATAAACTAGGCAATGACATAAAATATACAGAGAATATGAACAATAAGTTTTTCAAATATTGCGAAAAGATGTATAAATTGCACAATGAACATCTTTATAAATTATGTAGAGACGTATTGCTTGATTCAAATGAGAATATCGAGACGTTTTTCAAAGACATTTTAACAGAAATGTTCAACGATAATGTCATAAACTGGGGCCGTATGATGATGGTTTTTGTGTTTGGAGCGAGGTTAGCTGTGTTATGTAAAGATAGAAATAAATCTGATTTGATTGATCAAGTAATACAGAGTGTAGACAAATACGTGAAGACGGAATTTTTGGAATGGATTAATATCAAAGGAGGTTGTGTAAGTCACTTTTTTTGTGTTTGCAATCATTGATAAAAGCATTTAATTAGTGTCTATATATAATTTTCAATTATTAACTTAAAAGTTCAATTTGTTTTACTACATTATACTTATTTTCCTTTTTTCAGAACAATTTCGATCAATCGTATACTCAACACAAACCGATAGCAGAGATTCCTCTAATAAACGTTTCTTTTGGGTTAATGTTATGCCTAATAGCAACTTTTTATCTATACAAACATTTTGTCAAGGCTGATATATGTGAATTATGTGTATACAGACAACACTTTCTCCAGGATGTTTCTTTGTCAGGCGTCAAATGGTGTATACAATACCGATAGGAACTATGATGGTGAACTTTACGATATAGATGAACGGTTCAGAGTCAGATGAAAATGGTAATGGAATTTAACCCGAAGAAGAAAATGATTGTTTTAATGATCATTAAAAGTATTCATAAGAACTGTATATAAACTAGCTGAAAATAAATTGAGAGCTTCTTTCGACACATTTACTACCGACCTGCTTCCGACTAAATTTTACTCAGTATATATATGTTTGTGTCCAAAAATGTATAAAAAGAGACTGCTATGGTTGTCAATTTGATTGGCCTAGTCAAATAGACCATGATGTCTGTCTTATGATGACGGAGAAGAAGCAGCTGGAAAAATATTTTAATGAGGTATTGAATAATAATGGTTATTTAGATTTTGACATTATGTACAATCATTGGTTTTGGTTACGAGACGAATCAAACAAGTTAACCTTTACAATTCTAATAAATCAAATTACAAAAGACGAAAATCTATATAATAAAATGTTGAATGTCATGAAAAGTTAAGTAAATGGAATTGCAACGATCTTAACTTAATGCTATGGAAAGCTATTTTTTTCTCGTATGTATTACATTTTTATCAGAGTTTCAATTTTCTATGTTTAATATTTTAAACATATAAGTAAGTAAAAATAAATAAATAAATAAAACTGATTGTGAATGTTTGTAAAAAATTGTTTAATGTAAAAAAACTTGATTGAATGTGTTTGAAATTTATGTTTGTAAAAATTAAAATTTCTTTATGAAATATAATTTATGCTTTGTGTGTTATTTAAGTGTATGTTTTTAGAGTAATCTTTTCATTTGAGTGATAAAGTGAATTTATATTGTATGCTGCATGCTAGTGGAGTAATAAAAAAAAACAACAAAAAAGAAAACTGATAATAAGCTATATACTGTATATACTACGATCCGAAAATCCTGGTAGTTTCAGAGGGGGTAGAATCCGAATTTAAAATGGATACAATGGTGAAGACGACCATGGTGACGTTGGTGATGAGAATGATGATGCTGCTGATGATGATAAACTAAAATATATGAATAAGGAGTATGCAAAGTATGGAGTGGTAATGATGATGATGCTGTTGTTGGCGATGATGGCGAAGACTGTGATGGGTGTTTATGTTAGTGACTATGGTAATGGTGATAGAAATGATAGTAATCATATCAAAGTGAGGATGATGGTGGAGGTGACTTATGCTACAAAGGGTGTTGATAGTAACTATGGTCAAGGCAATTCAACTAAAAGACGCACATCTCGGGACATCAAATCATAATTATAACTCTGGCATTGACATTCTATGCGCCGCACGACCCTTCACGCTGATCTCCGCAGAAACCATAGCAACCAAACCATAATTATCCATCAGCGTGTGACAAATTATCCACCCGTTACCAGTAACCATTATATCGCGCGTCGTGCGATGGTTACAAATGCCTAATTAAGCGTTGCATTAACATTAGACTGAAATTATATTCGTTATTGTAGCAATAATTTTACCGATGAGGTGGTGTCTGGTGGTTCATAAGAACCACTTCTTAAAAAAATTAATAAATTTTCTTAATCGTTTTGTACACCTTAGTCCAACAATGTCAAGAACATTAAATTTTATAAAAATCATAAGTTTTGAATTGCTAACTTTTCATTTTCATGGTCAATTTTCACGAATTAAATTGCAGTTTATAGAAGCACTTGACAAGCTGGTGGTCAAACGAAATCCGATGCAACACACATAGAGAAGTACCCAAAATTGATAAAAAATAGTAACTAACATGAAACGTATGGCACGCATTGAATTATAATTAACGGCTGTACTCGCAACTAATATCGGATTGTCTATGCCGTTATATCTCTATGTCAATGCCACAGTAAGGATGAAAGACTCTACGCACGTGCTATGTTTGCGAGCGGAGATGTGCGTCCTTTTGTTTAAGTGCCTTGTTATGATTATACATTATTGACATCCATGGCGATGGTGATGATGTTGTCGAAGGTGACGACAATGATGGTGACTATGATGAGTCAAAAAGCGACTTACTGTACTGCAAACAAAAATGAAATATATTCCTTATACCTAATATTACATTTTAAAATATATAGTATGGTCTATAATATCCTCGGATACAATCAAAACTGAAGGAATAAAACAAAAACAACATAATAATTAGAAAAAATAACTAAAGGTTAAAAAATACTTTGAAGAAACATACTTTTATTATTCAAAATGCTATCGGCATAAAAATTAATTTACCCTATCTAATTAACTTATAAATACGTACTTATAACATAAATAAAATTACGTACATTACTTCAATAGAAAATAGAAGGAACACAAGCCATGTAAAATTAAAATTCAATGAACAAAACATAGTCAAATTTTAAAACATGTAAAACATGAATTTAAAATCACTCTAAGAATAAAAAAATAACAATTATATTAAACAAGAATTTTTTTAATTAGTTCACCTGTTAAAAATTCAGAGACGAAAAAAAAAATGATAAAGTCAGAAGTACTTAACACAGAAAATAGAAAAAGTACTGTAAGATTAAATAAAAGTATTTGAAGAAATTTAAAATATACGAAACGTTAAAAGAACTACGAAACAGTTACAGTACTCCCAAAATACTTTAAATAAACTGTAAAAGTACAAAACACAGTGATATAATATGAATTAACAATTAAAATAAAATAAATAAAGCAAAATAATTTAAGGAAGATATAAATATACGATTTATACCCATTATATAAATATACAACTTCGCCGTTAAAAATCAGAAATGAAAAACTTTTAAAAATGATAGATTCAATTAGGTCTATGTAATATATTTAAATAAGAGAATAATTAAAAAAAAAAACCGTGTAAACACTTTTAAAGAATGAATTCATTTGAAATGCGAAAATAGGGCGTTGTAAAACTGTAAAATATTAACTTTTACTTAAATTTTAATCACTTAATTAATAAATATCACATTAATTCCTCCAAAATGTGAAATAAACGGTTTAAGCAGTTATCAAACGCAAGACAGTAAGACACAGTGGAACTAAACATAAAATATACTATAATACAATCCTTTAAAAAAAATTTAAAAAAATAAAATAAAATGTTTCTCTGATATTTAGAAATGGTATAATTATTAATACAATTTTGAAAACTAATTCACAAATATGATGATTAATCTAAACCGCAGAACACATTTAAGTTTGATAAAATACATCGAATAAAAGTTAAAACCAAAAAATAGATTCAAATACAGTGTATAACACTTACAGGCAATTCGTTAAAAAAAATATGATTTGAAACTTCTGAATGTTGAAAACAAGTAAATTGAAAGTATATGTAAATTGAATTAATTTTATGTAAGGAAAATTAAATTTATGTCAAGAAAATAAATTGTATATAAAGATAAATAAAATTCATGTCAAGAATTATGTAAAGTAAATAAATTTTATGTAACGGAAATGAAAATCGTGTAAAGCAAATATATTTTAGGTAGAAAAAACAACGTAAAATCACGTACATAAAAAATAAAATAAAAATGTATTTTAAAAAAAAACGTAAAAAAATATTCGTGTAAAGTAAATTAATTTTATTTAAAGGAAATAAAATTCATGTCAATCTAAATTTTATGTAAAGTAAATCAATTTTATGTAAAGGAAATGAAAATCGTGTAAAGCAAATAATTCTATGTAAAAGAACTACGTAAAATCATGTACATTAAAAAAAATCAAAATGTGCTAAACAAAAAAAATCGTGTAAAGTAAATTAATTTTATGTAACGGGAAAATAAAATTCGTGTCAAAAAAATAAATTTTATGTAAAGAAAAAAATCTCGTGTCAAAAAATAAGTTTTATGAAAAGTATTATGTGTATATGTTTCACGTTCGCTAAACAAAGTAATTTCAAGTGATGAGAACGATTTATATCATGTTTCATCGATGAGCAAAGCTTCAATTTATTTCCTCAATCTGTTATATAATTATAATATATACAAAAATAAAATATGTCTCGTATGTTTAAAAAAGTAATAACATATATTTACGAAATATACAATATATTTAGACATTACAAAAATAAAATATTTCTCTTATAATTCAAAAATAATTACAATAATTTAAAATACATACAAAAGCAGGTCTAATTATTATAATTTACAATATATATACAATCAATTTTTTAGTTTACAATTTTTAATAATCGTCCAGTACAATATTTTATCAACAGAGATAAAATCACTTTCAATATTAAAGCAAAACTTTTACATAGTATTACCATTGAGGAAATATATATTCCTCCATAGTATTACTAAAAATATCCATACGGTACAGTTTTAAACTCATCAATAATTATTCACTTATCATAGGCCAATACTATTCTATAATCTTTAGTCTAATTTAGTTTAATTTACAATTTTCTTGATTCTGGCTTATATTTATCCGATTAGACTTAAATGTTGTAACACGATTTTTTTTTTTGGTGACGGCAGGGATTACTACTTTTACTTTCTTAATAACAACAACAGATTTTTCTTCACTTTTCCTTTTTTTTTAATGTTATAACTTTTATTATATCCCTCGCGAACTTGATGAAAACGTGGGAAAGACGATGACCAGTAACGTTGTTTACGGCGGTTATGATAATAAACATATAACCTTCAAAGTGTATTAATGAAAAACACCGTAAACATCGTTACTGGTCGTGAGTTAGTCAGGGATATAATAAAAGTAGTCAGTAGTCCGTAGTTAGATTCAAGAAAGTACAGAGCCGAGCTGACTCCACTCTAAAAGGGTTCTCTAACATCTGAAACCTGGAGTTTAGCTCATTGTAACCAACGTACAGTTTGTGAAAATAAAAGTTTGCAGTAAACTAAAAGGAACTGTGTCATACTACTCATTAAAAGTCACCAACAACTAACCGATATTTAACAGTATTTGCCAAACTATCGTGATTGATGTCCTGAAGTGATGTATTTCACAGTCTTATTGGACTGTTTATTATTTTGGGCCTGTGAATTTTACATACCTGATTTGGCCATTCAAATTTCAAATCAATCATACTTTTTTACTGTTTGAGACTGACAGGCATGTAGGTCATTAATGTAGCAGGACATCGCATGATCAATATTGTGTTTATGTGTTAACAATAGTGATTTAATTGAATGTTTAGTTTATATTCTATAACATCTAATGTCATAAGCCTAATGCCACAACCGGTGTATGTATAATGTTTTAATTCAATAGCATTATTAAAGAAATGCTAATTGTTGTATTCATGGTTATGATTACTGTTATTGATTATATTTTTTTTATATCCACTTGTTAAGAAATATATTTTAATTTTAGCAATTTTCGTGAGTCATCAATTTTAACAATGTCATTAAAAATACTGATCAATATGTACACTATTGTCCTCACACTGAGAAAGAACACAGGCGTGTTTGAAATATTTGTCATTAAATAAATTATATTACTTCATATTTTTGTCTACAGTGAGTAAAAATCAGTAAAAATAACAAAATAAATAATATTAGTTTATTGTTAGTACTGTACTTTGCTCATTCACTGGTTATGCAGTTTGATGAT